CTATGCCAGCACTCGGAATACCAAGCTGACTAACAGTGTCATATATAGTAATGAACAACAATGGACAGACAATGACGTTGCTCTGGACATGGGACTTCCAGGGGATGATGAACCAACACAGCTCAGGGGATGAACAGTTAAGGCAATAAATGTCATACTATAAATAACAGTAATTAATGGGGAGTGACATGGTAGCCCAGGGTGGCTGCCGCTCAATATACAATAAAATGTTGGTGAGGATTAACAACGGGGATTAGCGTCTCATAAATAATGGCAATTAAGTTATGTAGACATGTACAAGTCCTGGCTACAGGGTAATTAGGTTGTCCCAAATCAGTCGCTATGACAATATTTTACACAGAAAACATTTATTAAATTTGTTTCTTTTTTCCTGCTCAAACGATTATATACGGAATAAACGACCCCACATGACGTAGCTAACAGACACATGCGTACGTTTGACATTTCCAGGGCCTCTTAAAGTTGCATTATACATCTTGGTGAGAAAGTAAACATAACATACTGAAGAATTTCTGTATCTTTTGAAAAAAGCCCAAACTTTGACATTCATATGTGGACATGAAATTCTAATTGTTATATTGCATACTAATTTATAAATTAATACTTGCTTACATGTTTTATGAAACTCACGGGGTTACCCTTAAGCTAACTTACAACCTACGCAGTTCAACAGCTGACAGAAATGATCTAAATTGTCTTATGATTAATATATACCCCGCAAAAGTAGTAAAATCGTATATAACTGATAGAGTGTTGCCGACATCCATATCAAATTAATACCAAAATTGAATAGGTATTTTCTGCTAGGATTGGGATTGATTTGTGTGGAATGAATGAGGAACTGCAGACATTTGGTGAAAAGATGATGGGAAAATCGCAAAAACACTACCGCGTGAGAGCCTGGCGCCGAAACATACCAACATAACATGCACGTGCAACGTCACCTTTTGGACTATAAATACGTTGGTTTTCATTTGCATGGCATCACAATCATACAGCAAATGAACAGCGAAAACATACCACGACTGACGGAAGCAGCAACGCAGCAACGACATGGGCAGACTGCAAACAGGAAAATCATCTTCCACGTAGCCCAAGCACCATTGCAAGACTGTGGAACCGTTACCAGACACAAGGGACAGCACGTGACCTTCTCAGATCCAGTCGACCACGTATCACTACTAAGAAATTTAACTACAACTGGGGAATTTAACGGCACAACGTTACACTGCAGGCAGAGTTGGTGAACACTCCCGGGCAGCAATTCGGGATCTGATTGCTTCCACTGGATGACGATGCCAGTCAGCTCTGGACTCTAATGATGGTCATACAAGATATTGAGAACAGATGACGTTCGCCTTGAAATTCTACTGTTCGATGTGTGCCATGTGGAACCTGGGTCAAGGACAATGATGTGTGCCATGTTTGGACAATCGACCATCTGTTGAATGTTTTTATGATATATAAAATATACATCAATATTCACATTTGCATTTCTTTTTTTGCGGAGGATATGTTAGATTACTTAAAGGGGAATCTTGAAGTTGAAGGATGTTTCCATCGGTGTCCCAGTGGTGTCCCAGTGGTGTATGACTGTGCAGATGTCACGTGCCGCATAAGCAATGTGCGGATCCACTAATCATAGGTCAAGTGATCAGATGCATTTTAGAATCGGATGTACACCCCACGTGTCTTGTTTTCCTACATGCTTGGCTAACTGCGGGTCATCTGTGGAACGATACTGCACAGAATGAGTGAGTGAGTAGTGTTTTACACCGCTTTTACCAATATTCCAGCAATATCACGGCGGGGACACTAGAAATGGACTTCACACATTGTGGGGAATCGAACCCGGGTCTTCGGCGTGACGAGTGAACGCTTTAACCACTAGGCTACCCGACCACCCGATACTGCACAGGTTTAATATAACGTGCTGTCGCTACACTTTGGAGATGAGGCCATTTGTTTTGGTGTCATATGTGTGGCATGACATAGGTATAATCAGTAGGAATTCCAGCCAGCCTACATGCATGCACTTGGATATATATATATATCTTTCATATATATTACGAGTCAAATATGACAAGCGTCATATATTAATGTGTATCAGCACTTGGTTTTCAAAAGAGTGACATTGATTATATACCGACTACAACAATTTATGTCAAAATTCTCAAATCAATGATAAATTTTGCGCAATGCTGTTATTAGCAAAAGTTATTTTGATTATTACTTACTTATATATTTATCGGAAAATTAATATCATCTCTTTGTTTTCGTTTAACATTCAGGGAAACGCTTCTCGGAACGTTGGGTCCATAACATACCAACTATTGGGGCACTGTCAAGACCGGGAGACAGGAGACATTGTGAAAACCACGGTCAGTTTTGATAGACATTATAAAATCCACGGTCAGTTTAAACAGACATTGTGAAACCCACGTCCAGTTTAACTTACTTGGTGGATGTAGATACAAGAAGCATTCAAATCATGGACAATGTCATCCAATCACACTTGCTAGCTTATTAACCTCGCACCCAATCACTGTACGGAAGCGGCTGGAAGTACAACTGGTTTCGATTTAGTGTAGCTGCGCCTAATGTTTATTAGGCTGTCGTAAAGAGCTCGTAAACAATTTTTGTTACGCAGTCGTAGTTCTAATTTCGAGGATATCGTCTAATTGTCAAGACGATAAGGGGTGTTTTCAAAAGTCCAGTGAAGCTGAAAAAAATGAATGAATGGTCACTGATAACAATCCTGTTTTTGTGAAGTGTCGAATAGGTACAAAAACAATTGTCTGAACATCTAGGGTCTATAACTGTGCCATTAGTCCTGGGGTTGTTGGTTGCAACTTACATGACGTGTTTTATGTGGCTGTGTATACTTGTGTGAGGCGATCGCATAATAATCAGTGGTGGTCGTGACCTTGATTTAGAGTGACCTCCCTTGGTTGTTTCTATTTCTAAACTCTGCTCCAGAGCGTGACACCTTTGTTTCACTCCCTGCATTGAGAGCTCCGCTGCAAGGAGTTGTCGTCACTTCATGAGTAACATGGTTCCAGTCGCTCCAGGCAGTATATTCGGGAAGGCTGGCTGTATCTTTATAGGTGAGGTGAGGTGAAACTGGGTTTAATTAACGTCGCGACCAAGATTATTGCACTTATATTGTGTGTGGCTGCTTGTGCTAGTCCGGACTGATGCTGATTTATAGTGCCAGCACACTGAGATACCATGCCGCAGATTAACATGAATACCCCATTCAGACACAGTATACTGACTCCGAGCCGACAAGTCCCTGTTTTAGCCCCTTAATGAGCGCCAGACAGGGTAACACCAAGTACCATCTTTTAACGCCTTCTAGTATGACGCGGCCGATCGAACCCCTGACCTTCCGCTCTCCGGGTGGAGGCTCTGACACTTGACCACGGAGGCGGTCGTATCTTTCTAAGTGCAAGACGAGAGAAATTGGAGTCCTTCCTTCTACGACTTGCCCAGAGCGTGCGGGATACCTGACGGAAACACCGATGTTTCTGCCTATTTCTAACGCTGATAATCTCATTCAAATAAGATCTTAGTTCTCGCTATCGCTTAACAAAGATCTGAGGATATCCCATTACGGGTCACGTCAGAACGACCTTTCAGCCGACCAATCAAAGCGTCGCTTACCAGATCCTGAAAGTGACAGTCGGGATGTGTTTTCTAATCATGCAACCTCGAAAACGTTAAGTCGGGGTATTCCGAACGACAGTTACGGCCCGTATAATTGATTCCGTCAAAAGTATCGTCTATCTCTCGCTTCCGTGGGATAAACATTTGAACGGAGGAGGCGTTGCACAGTATATGTGGGAAGCACTGCTATACAATTTCAACCATATATTAGACATTCCGAAATGTTCGTTTGTTCAGGTTTTCAAAATATTAATCGAGAACTGTGTCAACATATTTTTCAAGCGTAGTCTGAAATGGAAGTCGCCAGGTTGAAACGAGTGCCGTAAAGCTCGAGAAAGCTGCTTTCTAATTGGCCGATGTCGACTTCTTGTTGGTCATTTCAGTGGTCGGTCAAAGTTGGCGAAAGGTCATTCTGACGTGACCCGTGATGGGATGTCCTCAGATCTTTGTTTAGCGGTAGCGAGAATTTCGAAGCGGCGTTAAATCAAAATAAATCATAAACTAATGAGATTCCCCTCTTCCCTGGTGAAAGCTTTCCTGGACACACCAGTTGACCTTAAAGTTGTAAATGGTCACAATGTGAGATTATTCTTAGTGTCGCCGTGTGTTATGCAAAGCTTGGGGCGGTCGGGTAGCATAGTGGTTAAAGCGTTCGCTCGTCACGCCAAATCGGGTTCGATTCCCGACATGGGTACAATGTGTGAAGCCCATTTCTTGTGTCCCCCGCCGTGATATTGCTGGACTATTGCTAAAAGCGGCGTAAATCCATACTCACACACTCACTGTTGTAATGTTCGAAAGCCTTCGACATTCGACATTCACCCACCGTGTGGTGGCACACTTGCTTTAAAACACGTTACCACCACACACACACACACACACACACACACACACACACACATGTTCTAAGTCAGAACACAGCCAGTGTGTGCCCGTTTATTTGACATTCAGTTATTTCATTTCATATTCTCAAACACAAAAGAAAATAGGATCAGATGATGCGACACCCTTTCTAAATCCTTGCAATTATCTAAAGAGTCGCTACTTGTGTTTTATGAGAAGAAAATAGACCCAATAGGACTTTTACAATTTTATTTAATAAAAATGTAAAACGAAATCATAATTTTAAATTGGAGTTCTGTCTAGGAAAGTTTATGTTCTACAAGCTGAAATGAGTAGTGTGGCTATTTCTTAAGAAATACGGATATCCTCTATGTATCGTTTTTAATTTGATTGCATTGGAATTCCGCTCTAAGTTAATAAGTATACCACTCAACATTTGATTGGGATATCTGAGTGTGCAGGTGCGCACTAAATGTATGTTGTCATACGAAATAAAAGTGACAAAACCTTTCTATAATCATTCGCAAATTATCGATTCTGAGGCAGGCATATATCTTTTCACTTTCATGAAAATATAGTGACTATATGGGCACTTTTTATGATATACATAAAAGACATTAGAAAAAAGAAAATCTTGAAATCATTTCAAAGACTAAACGTTAGTTTATTAGTATTGTAGCAGTATGGGATATCTCAGTATCCCTTTCAAAAGTTGAGTGGTGTATTATGTGACAGTATTCGAATGACAAGAAAGACGGTGTTTTTTCCCGGTATTTTAATCCGGCTGGTACTGTACACGGTGAATAAAGACCCTAGATGCGGCCCTGAATGAACGGAGATATAGCACAGTTACAGCTGGATTCCACCTGGATCCAGTTCCAGTCGTAGTAGGTGTCGCCGGGACGTCGCACCAACGCCATCACGTACGACTTCTTCGGCATGCATCGCGACCAATACCTGTGACAGAGAACGTCAGGAGGGTTAGAAGGACAATGTCAGCAATGGCCATATACATATTGTGTATTGATATAGAGTGAGTCAGTTAGTGATTGAGTGAGTGAGTGAGTGAGTGAGTGATTCCAAAATCATGGCACAGAGTCACCTGACATACGGATAAAAATATAGTTCACATATTGTGCATTGGTATAGAGTGAGTGAGTGAGTGAGTGATCCCAAGATCATGGCACAGAGTCTGGTCACCTGACATACGGATAAAACTATAGTTCACATATTGTGCATTGGTATAGAGTGAGTGAGTGAGTGAGTGATCCCAAGATCATGGCACAGAGTCTGGTCACCTGACATACGGATAAAACTATAGTTCACATATTGTGCATTGGTATAGAGTGAGTGAGTGAGTGAGTGATCCCAAGATCATGGCACAGAGTCTGGTCACCTGACATACGGATAAAACTATAGTTCACATATTGTGCATTGGTATAGAGTGAGTGAGTGAGTGAGTGAGTGATCCCAAGATCATGGCACAGAGTCTGGTCACCTGACATACGGATAAAACTATAGTTCACATATTGTGCATTGGTATAGAGTGAGTGAGTGAGTGAGTGAGTGATCCCAAGATCATGGCACAGAGTCTGGTCACCTGACATACGGATAAAACTATAGTTCACATATTGTGCATTGGTATAGAGTGAGTGAGTGAGTGAGTGATCCCAAGATCATGGCACAGAGTCTGGTCACCTGACATACGGATAAAACTATAGTTCACATATTGTGCATTGGTATAGAGTGAGTGAGTGAGTGAGTGATCCCAAGATCATGGCACAGAGTCTGGTCACCTGACATACGGATAAAACTATAGTTCACATATTGTGCATTGGTATAGAGTGAGTGAGTGAGTGAGTGATCCCAAGATCATGGCACAGAGTCTGGTCACCTGACATACGGATAAAACTATAGTTCACATATTGTGCATTGGTATAGAGTGAGTGAGTGAGTGAGTGATCCCAAGATCATGGCACAGAGTCTGGTCACCTGACATACGGATAAAACTATAGTTCACATATTGTGCATTGGTATAGAGTGAGTGAGTGAGTGAGTGATCCCAAGATCATGGCACAGAGTCTGGTCACCTGACATACGGATAAAACTATAGTTCACATATTGTGCATTGGTATAGAGTGAGTGAGTGAGTGAGTGATCCCAAGATCATGGCACAGAGTCTGGTCACCTGACATACGGATAAAACTATAGTTCACATATTGTGCATTTGTATAGAGTGAGTGAGTGAGTGAGTGATCCCAAGTTCATGGCACAGAGTCTGGTCACCTGACATACGGATAAAACTATAGTTCACATATTGTGCATTGGTATAGAGTGAGTGAGTGAGTGATCCCAAGATCATGGCACAGAGTCTGGTCACCTGACATACGGATAAAACTATAGTTCACATATTGTGCATTGGTATAGAGTGAGTGAGTGAGTGAGTGATCCCAAGATCATGGCACAGAGTCTGGTCACCTGACATACGGATAAAACTATAGTTCACATATTGTGCATTGGTATAGAGTGAGTGAGTGAGTGAGTGATCCCAAGATCATGGCACAGAGTCTGGTCACCTGACATACGGATAAAACTATAGTTCACATATTGTGCATTGGTATAGAGTGAGTGAGTGAGTGAGTGAGTGAGTGAGTGATCCCAAGATCATGGCACAGAGTCTGGTCACCTGACATACGGATAAAACTATAGTTCACATATTGTGCATTGGTATAGAGTGAGTGAGTGAGTGAGTGATCCCAAGTTCATGGCACAGAGTCTGGTCACCTGACATACGGATAAAACTATAGTTCACATATTGTGCATTGGTATAGAGTGAGTGAGTGAGTGATCCCAAGATCATGGCACAGAGTCTGGTCACCTGACATACGGATAAAACTATAGTTCACATATTGTGCATTGGTATAGAGTGGCCGAGTGAGTGAGTGATCGGGAGACGGTGACAGGCAATGAAATCATGGCACAGAGTCTGGTCACCTGACATACGGATAAAACTATAGTTCACATATTGTGCATTGGTATAGAGTGGGTGAGTGAGTGAGTGATCGGGAGACGGTGACAGGCAATGAAATCATGGCACAGAGTCTGGTCACCTGACATACGGATAAAACTATAGTTCACATATTGTGCATTGGTATAGAGTGGGTGAGTGAGTGAGTGAGTGAGTGAGTGATCGGGAGACGGTGACAGGCAATGACATCATGGCACAGAGTCTGGTAACCTGACATACAGATACACCTATAGTTCCCGAAGGCAGGCAAAGGACACGCCACATGCCAAGTTCTCCTACACTGGAACGAATGGTGCCGTTCATTGTCATATCCTCAGGATTAACATATTTCTGGATTATCCAATCAGTGACACGGAAATTAAACATGGCCGTGACATGGACAGCACCATTATTGTTTTGTGGTGAGGTGAAATGGGGTTTAACGTCGCGTCCAAGATTGTTGCACTTACATAGGGACTATAATTTTGTGAAGACGTTTCACCTGTCGAAGGGGCGGTCGTTAAGACTAGTGGTTAAGGCGTTCGCTTGAAGACCCGGGTTCGATTCCTGACATGGGTTCAATGTTCGAAGCCCATTTCTTGTCCCCCGCCGTGATATTGCTGGAATATTGTTAAACGCGGCATAAAACCACACACACTCACTCACCTGACGAAGTCGACTGAAACGTCGTGACAAACAACAGATTAACTGTTAACCATTGAGTTCTTGCTTTCATGTACAATTAACTTCTAAATGCCAACGGCTGTTTATTATGTATGTATATAAGATAGCTACGCGATAAATCGCAAAGAACAATAAAGAGCAAAGCGTGGTTTATTTCACAATAAAACTTTGTTCTATCGATTCTGAAGATTCGAACATGCGCTCGCAACTCGTTAATTGGACGACGTTATTTTTGATAGTGAATTATCTGGTGAGTTGTTCCCCATAGATCTAGCTGGGCAACGTAGATAAAGGCAGTTGCCGAACGATCGCCTCCAGAAGTGGGAGAGATATGACAATAGGCACATGTAGAAAAGGTGCAGATAATCGACGTGAGGTTTGTGAGGATTGTGGAAATGCTAAACTTAAACCACCTTTCGTAAAATGGACTTGTCCAACATTACCCATGTTGGATTCTAGCCAGGGAGTTCTCATTAACATTTGGGTAACTATTTTCAAACCTTGAACATTTTATCAACATCCTTAAAGAGGCTGTACATAATGTTGATATCTCATATGAGAAATAAACGATTCCTGGTCGTTGTTTATCTACAATAAATCATTGCTGGGAGAATAAACCACTCGGGGATGCACTCGTCGTTTATTTCTTTAATATAAAGACATTCCACAGTAATCGTTATGAAGACGAAGGTACGGATCAAACGTCTTTCACTAAAACTCGAAACTTCAGTTTCATATCTCAGGAAATGCTTTTATTACATTCAGTCTCAATGGCTGTGAATTTTCACTAAAACTCGAAACTTCAATTTCATATCTCAGGAAATGCTTTTATTACATTCAGTCTCAATGGCTGTGAATTTTCACTAAAACTCGAAACTTCAATTTCATATCTCAGGAAATGTTTTTATTACATTCAGTCTCAATGGCTGTGAATTTTAAAGAAGATACTTGTTGGTAGCCATCTGAGAATTCAAACAAGCGATGTTGGCAAGCTGAAGTCTCAGCTGGTTAATTTCAGTGCAATGAGCCGCCTGCTGCTGTGTGCTTTGTACTCTCATTCATACACCCCCTTAATCAGCAGCATCAGCCGCGTGGACAGATGCTAACACCATCGGGGGAAGCACGGCGTGACGGGAATGCCCAACAATACTTACAAACGTTCATTGATCTTAATCGGAATTGATAATGTCATTTAGAAATAAATGACGAGGGATCTTGATGCACTAGCTGCGATATTAGGCCTATCGTGATCTTGAAAGGCAATTTATTCATGAAAGGACAATCTACTCAGTCTTCCTGTCATTGTAAAACACGATGTATTACTGTGAGTAGTCCCCCGATACACGCTACCAGTATATACACAATGCAGTCAACATTCAAGGCATAGTAGACTTGCACAAGCCTCTAGGGCAGTAATTATTAGTTTAAATCATAATTTTTAGATTATGTAAAAAATAAGAACAAGTTGTCCCCAAAGAGACTGGAGTCCTTACTGTCCACATATCTAGACTTGCCTATTAGGAGGATAGAATTACCACGCGTCCATGGACTTTTCTTTAAGTACAGCCTTGGAGCAAGGCTAACGGTATAGCGGCACACGGGAGTGTCCCATGTGTATTTTGTCTATTGGATCGTAGTGATTTTGTTACGAGCTATAATTCTGAAACTATTGACATTTCAATGTTGTACTAAAACAAATATACAGGACAAGGAAACTATTTTTTTCATTACTGGTTACTGAATCAATCCTTGTAAAACTCCAGGCTGAACGTTCTTCAAAAATATCAAGATGTCATAATAATTGGTGTGACCATGTTCCAACAGTTTGAGTTGCCTAACCGAGCGACCCCTTGCGGGCACAAATATACCAACTATTTCACAAACAGATGTTACCGAAAAACAACAAACTAAAACTTGTGATCTCGTATTGATAAATTCATTTTATGTGAAGTGTACATGTATATAGGCTAATTCCACGCGCAAAATACCGTACAACCCTCTATTGACACGTGGAACTCAAACTCATGTTTGTCTTCCTAAAGAGCTGCCAATTAAGACATCCAAAGTCTGGCTGTCTGCATGAACAGTTTGTAGGGGTTTCCACTGATAAGTCCTCAAATTGCATAACCATATATGTAAATATAAAACGCCAACGCCAGAGAATAACCAGTCTCGATTATCCGCCGAAACAGATTCCATTGAGCGTAAAGCAAAACAACGGTGAAAATCACATGAATGGATCACTGAAAGTCACCACCGGAAAGCA